TAACGTTACAATACACTTTATTTATAGCATATTTTTGTTTTGTATAGAACGAAAGAAAAAATGATATGATAGTTCGCTCCCACTAGTCGATACGTCATGAGACGATGACGCTGCAGTTTTTATCGATTCATGTATGGTAAACCTTCGCTAATTTTTTCTTGCATTATCATCGTGATTATGGTCAAAAGATTAATTTAGTATGTGTGACGATAAAGTAAATCGTTTCTTTGTATAATTTTACTTCTACTCAGTTGAGATCTGATCAGAAAAATTAGAAAATGATCTCGATAATATCAAGAAAATCATTTAGAAATATTTAATTTGCATATGATTTAAGGCAAATTGTGTCAATAAAAAAGACACAGCTAGATTAGGTGTGAAGTTATTTAAGTACTATCTCTCATAAATCATGGGACACGGATTTGTCTTTGTCTCTGACTTATGAAAACGTAGAGGACAAACTTGCGCTATTCTCAATTGCTCTCTTCTTGTAATTGGTTATCTTTTTCTTTCTTTCTGTTCTTTAAATATGATTGCGTTGGTCTATCTCTTGTACTCTTCTATAAATTGTTATGTTCTATGTTATACGATAGAGCTGAAATGATGTAGTAGCATAGTTAACATCGATACTGAGAGCGACGGTAGCGCTACTTCGTCAGTCTCTCATGATCCAATAAATGTAACAAGCACTGCTATCATAACGAAATGATTCTACTCTTTTTGTTTTTCCTCCGATATAAAAAAAAATCAGGACAAAGGTCTGGTTTTTTCTTTACATATGTCCATATGCAGGCACAGGGCAAGGTAGATGAGAGTGAGGATGAAGAGTAGACCTTCATCCATCCTTGCTGTTAAGATAGTCCTTGAAAAGCGTAAGATATCAATCTGAATCTTCTCTCAAGCTTCATTCACAATAACGTCCATTCCACACATATCATTATACTTCGGGCATATTTCAAGCTTTTTGACAGTAAATAACATCTCGCTTTTTCTCTCTTGTTTGAATATCTTGTCTCATTTTAGGTGAATCACCCTTTTTACTTTCTCTCAGTTTTCCTCGCATTAGTTATTCATGTAAATAAAAAATGAAGTCGTTTTCTGTAACATATCGTATCTCAATGTTTCACTAAGATTTTTTCTTTCTGGCACTCTTATCAAGTTTCTCTAATAAGAAAAGAGAAGGAGAGCCGAAAAGAAAAGTGAACATTGCGTTTTTAATGCACAAGTCAATCTTAATATCCCTTACTTACACACTAAAAGGCATTCAAGCGCATACATTTTTTCTTCATTTTTTAATGGCAACTGCTTTAACTACATTTATACTAGACAACCTGATTCAATTCCATTACACTGAAAGTAAAGAAGAGCCAGTTAGTAAAATCTTGACAACAATTAACGGCTATCACGATCATTCACTACATTCACTCGAAGACGCTGTTTCGCCTATTGCACATTTATTCATCGACTTAGAAGAAAATGTTTGGATTGCTAAGAGTAATAGTCCGAATCAGGAAGACACAACAACGCCAGACGTATTAGAAACAGCGGATTTTTTAAGTAAAAGTGGAATAAGAACACTCTTCTCGATTGAGTGTGTCAACGGCAAGTCGATTAAGAAACATTCGTATTTTAGTAATACGAGAAAAGACGTTATTCTGATGTCTGATACTTTCTTCGAGAGTATCGGTCAAGTGAATGCACAATCAGATCTTCACATTATTCATTTGAAAGAGATTCAACCTCCATTTCTATTGACTAATCCACATTTTTACCAAGCACAACATCATCAACTAGCTGTTGGTAAGTACTGAGGTTGATTGAATGTATTTAGATAGATCATCAAAAACTTGAACAAACTAGACAGCTGTTGATAGCAAAATGAGGTTTTGGAAAACGAGGATATATCCACAGATGATCAAAAACTTTTAAGCACATATTTTGCCAAGCCATAGGACACTGATAGAGTAGTACGTTCTTCCTTTGGATCATACTGAAATGAAGATTTGATCAAGATTTTGAAGTTTTGGTGGATTCTCTTCCTATGAGCCTAACTTTTCGATATAATTTTGTTGTTGAAAAAAAAAAAAATTTTAGCCTGAAAATTGTTTCTGAATGAATTTCTTAGTGAGACCAACATGCATAGTTTGGAAAACGCATATCTCAGAGACACTCGATCAAACAGTCTGAAATTTTGTGCATAAGCCTATCGTACTGACATCTTCATTTGAGCAAAGTTTTCAGGTCAGAACTCGACAATCAGTTTTGATGAAAAAAATCGAGTTTATACAGAGAACGCGTATTAGAAAGTTACTATCTCGATAGAGTTTTAGAGCCTGCTCTAGCCAATTGGATATCAACCACTAGGAAAAATATGAGCTTCAAAGCTTTTGATTATTTTGGAATCGTTCTTCGTCAGTGTAGGAAATTAGTTTTATTTGAACGTAGTACAGTGAAGAAGTTTACTGGATTATGGCGAGCAATTCAAACTTGAGATTAAAATGTAGACGCCTCTTGACACTTTATCAATGTTGTAATAGTTACTTGTTATGATAACGATGGTCTTATACAATCTGATTTCTTTGTCCAGAATACGAGAACAAATAAGAAAATACTCTTATTATCGATTTTTCTTATGGACGCCGAATCGACATGTTTTTCAATGACTTTAAGAAGTCCATCTACGATTTCAACTCTGCTATCAATAACGTCATAGCCTGTATCCTCATTAAGCTTTAGTAAAATGAAAGAGATACCAAGATTGTGCATAAAGATCAAATCAGACAACAAAGTAACAGCTGCTAGTAATGAATGTGTACTCTATTTTCCTTACGGCTTATTAAGTCTTATTTATGAAATAAGACAGGAACAGCTTAATATATGAAACAAGATTTTGATGTCAAAGCTGCCTACTGGTCGGCGATCAATTTTTTATTGTATCAGTAACAGCAGTTTATTCACTGGACGTTTCTACGAAGACATTGAAAAAAGTCAGAGCACGTAACAATGAAATGTTGGCCTGCATATGGTAGGCCTGACTGTGGTTGTGGGTGTTGTTAGATGCCTTCGTTCGGATAACGTCTACATCCACACCTTTTGTGTTTAAGAGAAAATACATGTTTTCTTTCGCATAGCTGTATCAATTCACTGAAATTTTATAATCCGCTAAGTACTTTTAAAGAAAAACTCCATGGAAAAAGCTATCACGAGTGAAAATATTTAAAGGAACGGAATCTTTCCAGCTTTCTCTCTCTAATCGTATACGCTGTGCATTGTGGATCAAAACACAAGAAAAAGGCGCCAGCATATGAAGACTAAGATCATGTAGCAGTAGTTCAATATAGAACCGAATGAGTTCAAGTCATTCATTCAACAATAAAATTAGTTTCAGACGAAATTAATGATTTTCCGTAGGAAAAATATTCAAACACGTTGTAATTTTATTGTTCGGAAAACGAAAGTCATTTGAATTTATTAAGGTGTGAAGTTGTGGGTGTATGCGACCGATGACGGTTGATTTGATTACCCTTACTTTCTTGATAAGGTTATAGTAGTTGTATGATTTTATTTTTTGTAGAACTGTTCTTATTTCATTTTAATACATAAAAACTAGGCACAGCATATTGTGTCCTACAGTTTTTTTATTCAGGAATTACATCTAATTTTGAGAGTACAGGCACTTTTTACATATTTCAATAATCATACAGTCAATCTTTGAAGTGGTACCCTCACACTTGATAAAACATTCGCACCATGGAAAAGTTGATTTTAACATTCTTTATATAAATGAACAGAAAATGGTAAAAAAGAACTTGACTCGTCTATCTCTACTATTGAACGGTTTACTGACTTTTACAAGAATTTCTTTACATGTATATACTAGCATTTGAACATAAACATTATTAATTTTATATTCAAATTAAGTTTTAATTTCAAATTTCAACTTTTGAGACATACTACATTTTGATTTTGTTTTGTATCAATTAAACTGATGCTTTGATTATGAAAGCTATTTTGTGATAGAATTTGATTATAACTAAAATATCAATAGATTTGTTTCATAAGTAATCTCCATTACATACATCCCAAACAAATATTAATGATTGCGGCTTAACCATTTTCATTGTTTTCTGCAGTAAAATAATTCTTGTTCGTTCTAAAATATTATATTTTACTGTTAATTTAGAGAAGTTATTTAACAATTTTTAGCTTTCCTTTCTTTTTTTTTATAGAAACGACGAACTAGCAATAATGTATGTGCATTCACTGATCCAAAAATATTCTATGCTAAATCTTCACGTAGAGAATATGAGTGCAAACGTACGTGTTTTGCTACAGAGTATCATTCACACTCACATGCACATCAATCATCAAGTGGAATGATCCGTTTACACAAAGAAGATTATCATCATCAAATGACATCAGTTAAGAGTTTATCATGTACAAAGCCAAAGATTAACTTTTTTCAATAAGCTATTGTAAATTATGGAAATATTTGTTTCGTAATATCTCAAGTAAGTAACTAAAGTGTCCAGATATCTGCTGTTGTTCTTGCTCATAAATTCAGATTCTTTTGATTAAATGCGGTGCCCATACTCAAACACAACTATGATGTGGTGAAACCATTATTTGAACAATTAGTTTCACTAGAACTATGGATGAGATTCAAAAAATAGACTCAAATCTGGTAAATAGAACACTACAATGTTTATCAAAGTTATGTCGGAATCATTTAACATTCAGGTGGGGAGCAATTGATTAAGCAATATTTGGAAAAGGTCTAAATACCTTGAGTTCAATATAAAGAAAATTTTAAAGACGTGATATTGTCATCATCTTCAGCACAACTATCTGGAGAGGCTAATGTTATTTTAAAATCCAGATCATATTCAAATTACTTTCCTTTCATAAAGCTAGTGTGGAAAATGCTATTTTTATGTTTACTTCTTTCCACAAGTTGTAATGAAGTACGATTGGTGGCTCCAACATCAAAGAACAGGTCGATGACAGCTAATAGTTCAACATCAATTTTTAAAAAAATATTAGAAACACGTTCCAAAATTATACAAACAACAATACTTCAATATTTTGGAAAATGTACCAACAAAGCTGTAGCTCTGCCTGTAAAAGAAACTAATGTATTATCAACAGAAGATGAAGATTATTCAATTATCTTATGTTTGCCATTGTAAGTCGTGAAGAAAGTTTATTTTAAATATATTGTTGATTACTTTCTATGTAGTGATCATCAATCCAATAATAATGAAACTTCACGAGTATCACCAACAGATTCAGCACTATCATCACTCATACAAATATCAACTATATCCTCAACTTGCTCGTCCTTATCAGAAGAATGAACGTCAAAAATGGATCAAGCACCTAATATAGAAGCTTTTATGTTGCTGTCCGAAATATATTTGCTAATGCATTTTCATGTTTAGAAAGTTTATACAACATTTCGAAACCGAAAATTACTCAGAAATTGAAACATCTCTATCAAAGTGGAAGATAATAAAGAAATGACTGGATAATTTTCTAATATTTTATCTATGTAATGAATTATTCTTGTGTTTACTTTTTTTTTCAGTAGCTAGTGTTTTTTTTATATAGATTTAATAGATTCATAGCAAAGTTTATGATGAATATTATTTTTCTGCTCTCGATTAATTTGAATTCAATTTTCATCGGTGGGTACTTTTAGCGTTGAAATGATACAAAATTATTTCAACAAGAATCGGAATCTAACTAAGAAAGAGTGACAGAAAATGTATGAGCTGTCAGTGATTTTTGTGATTAAAAAAAAATAGTTTTGATTTAAAAAAAGTGGTTTTGGGTTTTCATGACTGAGTTATTCTTGAGAAGACTAATCTACGAAAACTCAATGTAAGTAGAGAATCGAATAAATGAAAAAACAGATCTCAAAATATATCATAAAGTATTTAATTAAGGCTCGTCTTTATAAACTTATGTACTTGAAGATAAATAAAATGATACATATCAATCGAATAAGAAACAATAGAAATTACTGAATACTTTTGAGTATTACTTTTTGTCTCGTAGTAACTACGAGACAAAGAATTCCAATGCTGCTGATTAGTCCGATCATCAATATGATAGCGTAAATAAATCATTTCACAAAAAGCTTTCGTTTTATCCAAGTTGTCACTAGAGAAAAAAGCAACAGTAAACGATTTTAAACGGCATATCTTCTTTTTTAATTCTGATTGATGAATAAAAAATGCGTTATGACGAATCAAATGATAATAATTTGCCTAGGAAATTCGTTAAAACCTGTTTAAGTAAGAATAAATGTGTTTTTAAGGGATTCAACCTTTATGATTCGTTTTCGTGAGCTGTAGCTAATACTCTAGCACAGATTTGAGAAATATTTAGGTGACGTTTTTCGTGGGAAACCAGAGGAAGGTTCGCGAAAAAATAACAAGTGACGGGATAGAAGAAGGGCGTCCAAAAATCAAGGAAAAGTTCTGATGTCATTTGTCAACACCTCGATACATGTTTAAAGCTTTTACTACATTGTTCTTTTACGTTCATTTTTTGATGTTCATTTTATTTAATTTCTTTGTGTTCTATTGCTTGTTCTATTCTTTTTTAACTAAGTGGAAACAAAATTATCTACTTCATTTATTGTTCGGTTTATTAATTGCTTATGAAGATCAAAAGAAATAGATTAGTATAATGAACCTAAAGAAAACATGTGATTTCCACATTTTAGCTCAGAGAAGCTACGCTAACAAGCGTTTTTTTACCGTTTTCGATGATTTTAAGATACATCAAAAAATTGATGTGCCATTAGAAAATTATAATTAAAGAGAAAAAGTATTCTGAAATTGCTACTTAAAAGACCGCTGAATATCGTCTAGGATTCAGATATTGATTTCTAAAGTACACACTATGGATACTGATCTTTCTGTGCTTAATCGAAACGACGTGTAAACATTTCTTAATTTGGCATTAGAACCATTATTTTCTCTTCTAATGCTTGATTGCGCAAATTGTATTAATAATGCTCTACCATCATTATTACCTGATCGAGTGACACATATGGCCGAAAATCATTCATCAAGCATTTAGAGTTTTGTAAAACCATATCGACTGATTGATAAGCTCAGTTTGATAAGCAAAAAACAATCGACAGTATTTATATCTTCAAATATAAAACAAATTGAAAGGAAGAATTATTAAAATACTCGTCGAACTCAGTAAATCCTACAAAACTGCCAAAATTAAAACCTTTTTGTTTAGCACTGTGTATCAAACCTGCCTCGAGTCAGTGTCCACAGTACGTTTATTCTGTTCTCTGAAAGCTTATTTTACAGTTATATTTTCTTATTAGATGTGGTATTCAATTTGATGCTTCATTTGAAAATTTAAAGAATGTTCGTCTATGTTCAGCAAATAAAACCGTTACGTATACGACAATAGTTAGTTATTTGTGCAAGTTTTCTTCATAGTTTCTTGAACTTTATCCCATTTTCAACACATGTTTCTCAAATGATGAACCATCTTACTGTTTGATAATGACAAAGTATTTTTTTCTTATGTAACTAATATGTATTTTGGCGGTCGAACTGCTTTTGAAAGAACAATATTTAAACCATGTTCATGTACATTTGCGTAGATTAATCTTATTATGCAGGTAAAAAATGATACAGAGCCCATTGTTCCATTCTTGATAATTTTGAGAAATATTGAAACAAAACTTTATACAAAAAATGATTGTACCAACCACCAGATGATGTGAAGAGAACATAGGATGATGTTTCTATCTTTGAAACATTTAACATCGTTTAAAAGTCTGTTTCGAAGCTCGTTCAATAGAGAGCTCACATTTGCAAAACAGCACGGAAAACGTTTTCTAAATTAATCTTTCTGATAGATGGAAAAGTTAAAGGATTTACACTTATTCCATGACTCATCTGCAAAAGCAAAACAAATTATAAAAAATATGGCAGTACAGGGTGGCACAAAAGATGGTTTACCGAATTAAAGTTGAATATCCTTATTACAGCTTGAGTAAACAAGCTGAGTTTGTTTTGTTCATGATACAGGTATGTTCAAGGTTTATATCTATCAGGACAGCCATAGAGAAATCGTTCATTAAGCATCACTGTTGGTCTCAACAAAAATATTTTACTTTTACACAGATAAGATAGAAACACAATATTTTTAAGAAAGAGTCTCTCTAGGCAGCCCCTTTTGGATATAAAGC